TATATATATATTACAGAGTGAGTGCTTTCAGTTTCTCACCCACTTACTTAGTCAATGCCAACACGCCGAACACTGCTTTAGAGTTTGAGTGGCAAGAAACAAATGAGTTACAGAAGATTGACAAATGCTCATAATAAAACCATCAGGCTGGTGAGATGGTTCAGCACGTACAATGCTTGCTATACAAACCTGAAGATCTTAGTTTGATCCCAGGATCTCATTGTGGAAGGAGAGAACCAACTCCCAAAAATTTTCCTCTGATATCCACACAGAGACCAGCACTCATACATATCATGCATGCACGCACACACACACACACACACACATGCACACACACACATGCAAATGGACACACACATATAAGTAATAAAATTTAAATTTAAAAATGCTCTTGTAACTACAAATACACTAGTTGAATTCATTGATTTGCATGTATTTGACTAGTAAACACTCTCTCTGGTGATGCAAAATGAGAGTATTTATGTATAAAATTTGTTCTTTCTTAAATACCGCATTCACCTGGTACATCTACTCTTTGTCAGGATTTTTTTAAAATGCTCTGTTCAATCATTCACATTAGTCAAAGGGCAAAAATGTGACATTTGCGTATTTCCACAGTATAGCTACGCATGCATTCTTCTTAATGACGAAAGAACTCATTCATCTGATAAAAAAATATGGGCCAACTTAAATTCTCCATGGTGATATGCAAAGCAAATACCTTTCTTATAACTTCCTTATCTTGCTTGGCCAGGCACAAGATTTGGGATAAGGGAGGCTCTAAAACTCAGGTACGCAGGGGGTGAGTGGACTGTCAATCATCAATGAATGGCTTGCATAGGACCTACCAAGGAACTCACAGAGAAGAGGCCATTCAGATGCCAAGACTGCTCCTGCACCTGCTGAGCCGGAGTGCCAAACTAGAACCCCACTCTGCATAATCTCCACTACAGGAAAAGACCTCAGGAGGAGCAGCTCAGTGTCAGCACATGAGCACTGCCGGAACAACAATCCCCAACCTTGTATCTGAGCTTTTACACAGTCCCTCTGCTTCTTCCAGGAAGATGGAACTGATTAAGCAACGTTAATTTAATCATAAGTAATCAACATGGGAAAAAATTACATAACTATCTTCAAAATTCTGAATCAAACATGGCGAAATCCCAGGAAAATAGCTATTTTGCTTTTTGCTCCCACAAAACTTTCACCTCAGCAATAAATACAAAAATCAATCAGTTTGAAGATTAAATAAAACCAAGCTAAACTGTCATTTCCTTACATATTTACTATGAAGTTCTCAAATTCATTTTTGAAAAAACAACGTAACCCAGGCTGCCATTGAACCCAGGATCCTATCCTCCTGCATCAGTCTCTTGAGTATTAAAATCAATTCACAGGTTTTTAACATAATATGAGGTCTTGGAACTCATCCTGTCTGAGGTGTAAAAGACAAATGCATTTTTAACTCCTAAGAGTTGGTGGGAATAGTATCTTGGCCAATAAAGATTTTACCTCTGGCGGGATTATTGCTAATGAATAAAGGTAAAGCACACAGACAACGACGTGTTAAAATATCGCTCTCCCTTCTCTCTTTTTCTCCTTCAAACACAGAATAACGACACTGCAATATTTCACCCATGAGGTTATACCACTGTAGCCATATGCTTAAAAATTCAACTCCATGCCTAAGTCCAACGTGGCTCCTATTTCCACAGGGAGCACACTAATCCGGTAGGTAAACGGACAGTATTCAACAATATTCAAAGCCTGCTTTCTAAGCAATTAGATGCTTGACTGGCTGTGGGTCTTCGTTATGATGGAGGTCACCAAGAGGTAGCCTGCACGTTGTTGTGCAGGCACTGATGTTATTTTAAAAAGAAAGAGATCGCGGTCAAGCTTAAAGGTTACGCTTTCCACCTACACAGAATCCAGTAGGTAAATCCACCTGGTGACCCCCAAGCACACGCCAGCAGCTGTAATTACCCAGGAGCAATCAGGAGAGGCGTTTTCTCAGTGCTTCTGCGCTGGTCAGCCCCGGGGACTGAGGTGAATCCAAGCTGGGTGCTTGGGGAAAGCAGAAGTCAGAAACCTGTGCCGGTCAGGTCATGTCAAGCTGCGTACCTGCAATGACTGGATGGAAGCCTCCTCGGGTCCTCGGTCTGTCTCCCTGTCCCTCGGTTCTGTGTGAGTTGCAAGATCCACAGCCGCGTGGGAGCTGGATCCGGGGCTGCTGGCAGCTTTGCCCGCAGCCGGGCTCCGGCGGGGCCGGGGAAGCGTAGGGGTGTGTGGAACCGAGGAGCGGAGCGCAGAGGGCGGAGCGCGTGCTGGCCGTGCCTGCAGATGTGGAAGGAGCTGGAGACAGCTCTGAGTCCTCTCGGCGCTGCGTGGGGATAGTACCACAGGCTGGGATTTCTATTGGCTCTGAACACCAAACAAATCACACCAGTCACCCCCTCCTTCTCTGTTTCACTCTGTGCTTGCTTCTCATCTAACCCACAGTGCGCGCACGCGCGCGCGCGCGCACACACACACACGCACACACACACACACTTCAGTCCCCCGCTGTGTTTCTCTTTTCTTCCTTCCAGTCTGTGGATTTACAACCTTGTGGTCAGCTCTTAACATTTTTTTTTTTTTAGCAGACTTCCAGTCCAAACCTTCTTGTTTATGTAGAAAAAGCCACAATCCCCTTAACCCGCAAACCCCACTTATTCCCTTCAGACCTGTTTCCTTCTTTTTAGGGTGGGCTCACAATGTGAAGAATGTAGAAACACACACACACAAACACACACCCACGTGCGCACAGGCAGACTCAGGATCCTTTTGTTTTGAGTAACAAGCCAGCCAGGGAAATTAAAAAGCAAGCTGAGCCTAATGGCCTTAGTGAGTTTAATAATAAAATCTTGAATGAACTCCGTGCAAAACTTGCAACGATTGAATTTGTTTTCTGTTCCAATTAGCACTTTGGTGATTATTACCCTAATTTTTGTTTATTGAACGCAGTGATTTTTAACATAAATCAGATTCCTCACCATGCAGGGAGAGCATGGACCAACCACACTCCTGGACTGGAAATGTGGGACCAGCTCATAGTGATGCTAGCTAGCTTCCTTTGCAGTATTCTTAGGTATTGACTAACCCCACCTCAGCACTGAGACTTGAGTCACCTCAAGGAAAAGTCTGTTGAAAAACAACAATAAAAGGAATAACAAACCATGTCATTATTTTTTTTTTTTAAGTTACTACTTTCTGGGCTCATTGTAGCTCTTAATGTCACTAAGAAGACAGTGGTGTAAGTAAATTCATGAGTAACTTAAGGATACGGATAACACGCCTGTAATCTTAGAATTTGGGAGGCCAAAGCAGGAGGACCTTGAGTTCTAGAACAGCTTGGGTAACATATCAAGACCTTGCCTTTGAAATAAAAGCATAGATGAACCTTAAATTTCATTTTAGGGAATAATTCAAACTTTCTTTCATCCAGTTAATGAAGAGCAAAAGAAGATGATTTAAAGGACATTTTTATGTCTAATCAACTAAGTGATTAATGGAAAACAAATCACGAGTTGATGTTCTTTATCCTTCCCACTATTTGCTACTTTAAAAAGACTTTATTTTTCTTAACCAAAGACATTTCTCAGATAGTACAGTTCATTAAGCCCATAGCTGTTGTTAATGACCTGGTCATTGGTCATAGCACAACGCTTGCATCTCCGTATGTACAGTAATGGATTGCCATGCAGATTTAGTGGCAAACACTCCCATTTTATTTTCCACTCATTACAAGCATCACAGTGCCCCACTCTTTACTTCTATGTGGTACTCTTTACAGAAAACATTCACAAATTGGCATGGATCCCAGACAGCAGATAACGCCCTGATTCTGAGTACTGTAATTTGTAAGAGATACTAGAGAGAATGGGGACTCTTGTCTTGGAGATAGAACTTGGGGTAAACAGATTTGCAATCATTAAAAATGTAGAAGAAAATGGATTTATTATCCACATATGTTTAAAATGTATTGCCATGTTCATTAATATATCTTTGTACAGATACATGGATATATGTATGTGTGTGGGTACATATGTGTGTGTGGAGGCCTGAGGTCAACCTCAGGTATAGTTTGGAACTGTCCACCTATTTTTGGAAACAGGATCCCTTATTGGGACTTTGGACTCACTGATCAAACTGGGTGGCTGGCTGGTTGGCTGATGACCCTTAAGGATCCCATCTCTGCCTCTTCTGCACTGGGTTGATTACAACCATATAGCACCATCCTTACCCATCTTTTTATGTGGGTTCTGGAGATCAAAATCAGGTCCCTGTGCTTGCACAGACAACACTTTACCAACTGAGCTATTTTCTATCTCCCTTTGTCTAAGTATATATTATATAGTCGTGACCTAGAGATAGTTATTGATGGTCTTTTGCCCTTCTTTTGACATACTTCTATGTTCTTTAAGGAATATGTATAATTTATAATAAGAAATAGAAAAGTGAAACAGGTTATGTTTTGTACTCTGCTATATAGAGATACAAGATGCACATGACCAGTGTGCTAAAGACTGACATAGCATGACCAGTGTTATAAGAATTACACGGTTGAGCATGTCTGTATCTGCTCTATCCTTTTCTTTCTAATATAGGTTAGATCTCTGTATTCATCTACATGGCTTTCTTTTCATTCATCCATTTGTGGGCCAAGTCCTTTTATAGCTATAAATATCTTCTCTAGATTATCATAGATACTTAAATGTAAAATTGTTTAAATCATTTGGATGTGGATAGCTTTAGAAAATCTTTAAGTTACTGCTCAGTAAATGTTTGCTTCTCCATAAGATACAAATCTTTATCAAATGATATGCCAGAAACAATTTTATTCCTAGTAAATAACTATTTGTGATTCACTGATATATCTGTGAATATGTCCTCTTACTATCTGCAAATTTCAAATGTTTATTTCTGTGGAACAGTATTTATCCTTCTTGTGTCACAATAGTCCTTCCCAAATATGTACAAGTGATTTGTAAGACTTTTATAGGAAAAATAATAGCCCTTACTGTGTTTCAGAATAAACTCCTTGGCCACAAGAGTGCCATCTGTCATGCCCCTGTCACCCCAGCAGAGCATAGAGCACAGCCCACAGATGAGACTGGGAAATTAATAGGAAAGGAAATGACCACATATTCAACTCAAGACCCATATTTTCCCTTAAGACCTAGGGAGCAGGTGGCCATGGGTTTTCTGATTCATTAGCCCATGCTTATTAGATGTCATCAAAATCTTTATATTGTACTCTTAGTTCTGAGATATGGATAGAAACAGATGAATTGGGTGAATTCAGAGTAGAGGGAAGGAAAACCAGCTTTGGCCTAAATGTGTTTGCCACAATATAGACAGTGAACTCATGTGATGCATAAAATAAAATTTGAAATGGCACCTTTGTGTTGCTGTGCCCTCAATTCCTGATGGAAAGAATCATTTTGACTCACAGTTTCAGAGAGTTTCAGTCCATTATGGCAGAAAAGGCACGGCATAGCAGCTAAGATTACAGGGGCCACAGTATGCAGTTCAATCTCTCACATCATGGTAGGTCCGGAAAGAGAGAACAAAGCAGAAGCCAGGGGTCAGATATAACCTCAAAAGGCCTGCTCTCTACCAGGTAGGCCTCACCTCCCAAATTTTCTAAAAATTCCTGGAATAGTACCACAATAGAGGACCAAACGCTCAAACTATGAACCTATGGGGGACATTTCAGTTTCCAACTATGAGCTATTTAAACATGCCTTAAAGAATGGCCAAGATGGTCCTATTATGGTGCCTGTCACTCCTATAGCTCCTTCCCAGACTTGCCAGTCTAGCTAAGGAGGCAGACATGCACAGATGCATAGATGGATAAGATTCAGCCTATCCATCTGCCCCTATGCTATGGATACCAGGCTTAGAAGCCAGTCTGAATTTTGTAGAGATCATGGTGCTTGTGTGTGACTCAGAGTTCTTCTTTTGAAGCGTTTCAACTGGGGCTCTCTATCATCTGTCTGTCTGTCTGTCTATACTTGGCAACTGATAGTGATAAGCTTAAAGATTTTTTTTAAAAAATCAAAGAAAGGAGAGAACCCTGGTTATGAATGTGGTCAGAATAAACATCTGTAACATTCCAAAGTGTAAAAGCAAGGCAAGACGAAACCCAGTAGCTCCATTTTTGTTTCTGTGCACATTTATGTAACAAATCTTTCAATGGTTGAGGGGAGTTATATGCGTTTTCCTACTTGGAAAGGAAACTGCTTAAAGAAAAGAGCCTGAGAGGAGTCTGAGAAGCTACAAGAGACCTTGGGCTGAGGTTGAGATGATGGACATTATCACACTGAAGCTTAGCTTGTGAATTTCATGTTGATGCTGTAATTGAATCCTGAATTACTTACTATCTGGGCATCTACTTTTTTCTTCATGGGTTTCGATGATAATATATATAAAATTGGATTTAAAATATCTGCAAGTAGAATAATAACAGGATTAAACTAAATTTTGCTTTAAATGGTTTATCCAGTACCAGTGTGGAGAAAACACTTCATACTAGACAAAAATCTAAGACCTTTCATGTGCGGTGGATAGCAGTGACTATTGAAGTTTACTTGTCAGTATTTGGCTACAGAACCCATGTCCTTCAAGATGAATTGAGGGCTAGGCTCTTGGGATGGGTTTTAGCTAATTGGACTTTTAGAAATAAGCCCAAATCAGTCAGAACTCTTTCCTATGAGAAAGTACATGCCGACAATTTTATTTTTAAAACACAGTCAAGGCAGCACAATTTTTCCTCTCAGTGCCAATTTCTTTCTATATACACTATTTGCACTCAGGAATCATTTGGTGACTGTTGCTGAAGATCATTCCCAAAAGGTTGTCAGAGAGGACACTATGGATTGATGAGGGATAACAGAAGGAGTTCACAGCTGACTGAGCATCCAATATTTTGATCTTTCTAAAGGTCTTTGGAGACCTCTTGCTTCAGTTGAGGTCTGCAAAGTGACTATTCTTGCTAGGAATTACTATAACAGAAGGAGGGTCTTATACTTACCAGCTTCTTCTACAAGTCACTTTTCATACTGATAAATACACGTGTGTGTATGAGTGCATATCACCTGATCTTGCATCTGATCTTAAGAATCAGCCATGATACACGAACGAAACGCTGAGTAGGGGCACACATAGTCACATATATTTATACCTCTGTGTTTTCCCATTGGCATTTCCTTCCTTCTTTAAATGTGCTTTTTCAATCTAAAACTTATATCATTCCTTCCAGACTTGGCCCAACACTACCTTCCCTTTCTGCTTCCCATGTTGATTGGTGTCAGACCTTCCCTCCTCTCTATCTACAGTGCTTCTCACAGAATGTCTGTCCTTTATTCTCACTAGGCATCATCTGCTTGCCCCACTAATTTGTCAGCTCCCTGGGAAACAAGGTTGCTATAACAATGAGAGACAGACTTACAGTTTAAACTGA